AAGGCTAAGTACATTGTTTAAACACTTGTTGAAATTTGTAGCAATTTACAAGTAGGTTAGATCGAGATCACTGTTTAATACTTGTTGAACCTTGAAGAAGAAGCTTGCAAAATTTACATTAAGTAGTATATGTTTTATACTTGTTAAAATTTATGAAAGGTTTGCAGGTCAATATCTTGCCAAAGTAAAAGTTTTGTAGTTATACCCGAGGTATGTAACCCCGAGAAGATTGCACAATGGAAGCAAAATGAAAAAGCATGCAAAAATTTCTAAGTATAGAACTATGCAGAAGCAATCAACAGAACATCACAAGACTAAAAACATCCATAGAAAGAACAGTTACAGTTACATATTGAAAAAGCTACGTCGGCCATAAGAAGGAGTTTTGCATTGTCCAGAAATTAAAAGAGAGTACAAAGTGCAAAGTGCAGAAAAAGAAGGAAAAAGTACAAAAGACATTTTAAATCAAGACTCTTCAGTATTAGCAGCTGCAGGGACTGGGACCTCGGACGATTCTGGTGGAACCTCATCGGCAATCTTTTCTGCTTCAATCTCAGCATCAATCTCAGCCAGCGTATTGTCCAGATTTCTTTCAGCCAAAAGAAGGTCGGATGATAGTTGCCCGACGGCAATTTCCTTGGGTGCCTCTCCAACCTCATCACACTCCTCATCCAAAGTTAAATCCATCACTTGCTCAGCAAGAGGAGGGGACTTAGCTTCAGCAGCATCCTTGGGTTTTCTCACCAAGGCCTCATTATCATTTTTCCCTTCATCCTCATCCTCGGCATCAGCCTCAGTCTCTGATTTGTCTTCAACCTGACTTGGAGGAGGAAATGGTAAAGGAATGGCATCGGCATTACGAAAGGGCGAGTCAACAGGGAGATCAAGTTTTTTTATCAGAGACATCCAACCAAGGGAAAATCCCCTGTTGCATGCCTGCCTGACTTGAAGTTTATAATCCTCTGTGACATCGGCCATACCCTAGGCATAGGCCTTTTCATCAGCCTCTTTGACTTCGGCCTCCTTGGTAGCCAAAGCCTGCTGGAGCTCCTTCTCAGCCTGGGCTTTTTTCGCTTCGGCCTCCTTCTTCTCAGCTTCAGCTACTTTTCGGATAGCCTCAGCAGACTCCACTTTCTCTTCAGCCACCTGCTGGGCCTTAGTCGCAGCCTCGGCCTGGTCCTCCAGTTTTCTCATCTTTGATTCAAGAGATTTGATCTCCTTCTTCAGGGAAGACGCTTCCCTCTTCATATCAACCAATCTTTGCCGATTTTCAAAAGATTACATTGAAAATGAATGGGCGTGCTGAATGGCCTGAAGAAAAACAGAAGTGTTAGAAAATATTCTCAGTAAGAAACAGAAGGAAAAATCACAAGTGCAAACAGGAACACTTACTTGAACGGAGTGTTGGAGCATAAGAGCGTAATTCTCATACTCACTAAGCTCAGCATTTCGTTCCAAATCCTTCGGAAGGAGAAGAGCAGTGCTGAGGGCGACACCAACGTTAATATCGTCGGCACTTTCACTGGCCATAATAGGCCTATCCTCCAGAGTTAGTTCAGGGGCCCATGGAACGTCGGGCTTCTTGGACGCCGAAGTCGTCGCAGACGATGACCTCAGTTTTTTTGATTGTGTAGACCCTGAGGGTTGGGCCTCAGCAGACCTCTTGGTGGAAGCAGAGGTTGATTTTTTGCTTGCTGCCAGCTGAAAAATAGGCAAAGCATCCTCAACCTCGGTGTCAGTAGCCTTGGCCTTGGGCTGAGCCCTTTTTACTCTCTTCGGCTTTGGGGGGGCATCGCATGCATTGGTACAGCATCAGCGTCGGTTGGAAGGTCGGCAAGAAGATCTTGAACGACAGGCCTTGGACGAACCATCTCGGCAGTCTTTACAAGTCTTCGTCGACGTTTACGTTCTGGAATTGGTATTAAGTAGGGGGCCGAAGTGGATGGAAGATCGGCTGGGTCAGAGGTGGATCCTTGATCTGTTCGGGATGATTGATCTCACTATGACTTGGTACAAGCCCCTGCCTCCGCCTCCGCCTCCGCCCCGCCTCCGCCTTCAGCCCGATTTTGTTGGCCCCCTCCCCTCTTCTTCTTCTTCTTCTTCTTCCTCCTCATTCTCCTCCTTCATTCTCTTCCTCTGATTCTCTTTTTCTTCTTCTGAAAAAAAAAAAAAAAAAATTAAAAACGACATCGTTTTTAAATTTGGAAGATTCAAGAGGACTGTCTTTCGAGTTACGTAGCACATCTCCATAATAAAAGAAAAAAAGACTTAAAACTCCTAATTGTAGTGACCCCACCACCTCTATTATTTTTTTGATTGATTTAAATTTTTTTTTTGGGTCTTGGTCTCGCAACCCCACGTGGAGGTGGGTCCTGGATCCCAGCACTGCTGCATTATAAAATTGACCAAACATGTTTGACTTTAATAAATTATTGAAACAAAAACGAAGCAAAAGATTCTGTATCATCATAGGATTCATAAACATAAGATTAATAGTGATAAGATTCTTATACGAGGATTTTAATGCTTGTTGACCAATAAATTACTAATAACTCTTAGGGAAATGAGTTGGACCCAGTGGGGGGTGTTGGGTCATCTTTGATTGGCTGAAAAATTATTTATTTATTTTTATTTTTATTTTTTTTTGGTTTTAAGCCAATGACAGTGTGCCAATTGTTACTGGAGGGTGCTGGGGTCGCCCCACTGGGGTTCCCAACATTGCCGTAACTCTTAAAGTGTAGAGAAGATCAAATTTATAATATTATAAAAAATAATGTTATATGTATCAATTAATATACTAATTAATATATTAATAAATTATGTGACATAATTTTAAAAGTTTTAAATATTTATAATTTGTATAATAAATGAGGTCAATAATAATGATATAATACTAATTAGCCTCCGTTTAGGAATTGTGTTGGCTTTTTGACTTTTTGGTTATTTTAACCTGGGCTAAAAAGTTTGATTTGGGAAATTTTTTTTGGCTTTTTTGACTTTTTTTGTGAGAGAAAAGTGTAATGATTATGGGTTGGATGTGATGTTTTATTTTTTGAGGCTAAAATAGCATATTTTGTCTTTTATGGCTAAAATAACCAAAAAAATCTAGAAAATTTTTTCCCAAACGGACCCTTAGTATATCAATATGTACATTAATTAATACATATAATATCATTGTATTATAAAATTTGAGACTTGGGTGATGTGCGACTTATATATATGTATATATAGGACTCACTTTTTGTAGATGTATTTGATGTTGTATTTTTAACATTGTTGATTTAATTACTTGTGCATTTTAAGCAAGTTGATCCAGTCTTTTCTTTTTATTTTGGATTGTGACAAGCATTTTAAATATATTGATATTAAAATAATGGTATATTTTTATGATAAGTACACTTGTTTGATTTTAATGTTTAACAATAATTTTTTGAGTCTTCAATTCATTCTTTTTTATTTTTAGTTTTAGTCCGCTTTTATTTTTTTTTTAATCTACTTAATTTAAATATACTTAAAAAATATTAAATATGTAAAAAATAAAAAATAATAAAAATTCACTAAATGTTAAAAAAAATTTAAAAATCCAGTACATTTGGCTAAAATATTACAAAAACACTATAAAAAAATTGAAAATTCAAAAAACTATTTTTATGAAAAATATTTTTTTATATTTTTTTGTTGTTTGGTAATTGGAAATAAATTTACTTGGGTAAAAATATTTCACTTTTGAAATCTGAAAAATATTTTCTAAACTAACATTTTCCTGATGTTATCATATTACCACCATCACTCCACTGCCACCCCACTATCACCATTGCCACCATCATCCCACTCTCACCTAAGGCTGCAAATGAACAGAATCGTTCGTGAATAGGCTTGAGTTCAGCTCAATAAGAACTCATTCGAACTCAGTTTGTTAAATTTTTTTTGCGTTCGAACTCGTTAAATTTTTAATAAACAAGTCCAAATATTCTAAAGCTCAGCTCGTTAGCTAGCTCGTTTAATCTTTATTATTTATATATTAAATAATGTAAAAATATGTATAAAAAAAAAAGATAAATATGTTATTTATATATTTAAAAATAATTAGATAGTACATTTATATAATAGTGATAGTAGATATTATTATGTCTTCATTTGGGACGTGAGTTTAATTTTCGACTTTTTATTTTTAGCTATTTTAGCCTAAGGTTAAAAAGTCTCGTTTGGGATGATTTTTTGGGGTTTTTGATTTTTGTGAGAGAAAAAATAAAATGATTATGATTTAGATGTGACATTTTGTTTTATTGAGCTAAAAAGTCTATTTTGGCTTTTTATATCTAAAATGGCCCCGCCCCGCCCCAACTCAACCCAACCCAACCCAACCCAAACCAAACCAAACTTTCATGCCAAACAAACCCCATTTTGGTAAAATATTGACTTTTTTTTTGTATGTTTATATATATTGTGTATATAATTGTATAATCAAAATTTTAATTGTAACTTTAACCTCATACGCAAGTATAAATTTATAAATTTTTTAACTAAGGCTCGTGAACAAACTCAAGCTTGAGTCAAGCCTAAGCTAACTCGGCTTAAATTTGGTTCGTTAAAATTTTATTGAGTTCAAACTCGAGCTTGAGTTCGTTAAAATCTTAATAAATAAATCTGAATATATTAAAATTCAGTTCAACTCGACTTGTTTACAACATTAATCCTACCACTAATAATACAACATCTAGGTCATGTTTGTTTGGGTGGACATGAGCTTGGGATTGGACTAATAGTCCAATAAAATTATTAATCCGATGTTTGGTTAAACAATTAAAGTACGGACTAATTATTTTAAACTTGACTATTAGTTAAGATAAGATACATAATCCAACGAATTCGTAGTCCTAGAACTATTAGTCATGGGAATGCTAATCCACTCCGCCCAAACAAACATGGCCCTAGTGTATTAGTTGCAAAGATGCAACTAAACATTGAAACACGTTTTCTACAGGAGAAAAAAAATCCTAAATAAGGTTTTATACCGTGGAGCATTAATTGTGTTTCAACCTCTCAAATTTACCATATACCACACAAATATCTGGTATGAGGGTTTTTAGGGTTTTGATGCGTTTTATGCTTTCCTCAAAAATAATAATAATGTGGTATGAGGTAGAGTGGAGATCTCGCATATGCCGTGACTTATCTATGTAATGGTTAATTAAGAATTGCTCACAAATTAAGTAAACCCTAATCCAAATTAAGTATTCTAAAACAAGTTTTCAAATATTTGCAGTATGTTTGGTACGATAAAATGAAATGAAATGGGAATGGAATGAGAGTAAGAATGGAATATAAGATTAAATGAAATGGAATGTCCATTCACATTCCATTGTTTAGTTGCCAACCTAAAATGACATAGGAATAGGATAATAATTCTCATTCTCATATTTAGTTATACCTATTAACTTATGGAATGGAATAAAAAAAAATTATTTTTATTTTTTAACAAGCTAGTAACAAATAAATTAAAATTTTATATAGATCTTGACAATATTAATAGTTGTGAAAGTGATGGTGTAAGTGGTGGTAGTGGTGACGATGGCAGTAGCGGTGGCGGCGACATCCACTACAAGAAATGTCGCTTTTGGCTACCAAAATATTGGTCGCCAAAAGTCCAAAATTTGGTCGCCGAAACCATTTAGCGACCAAAATTTTTTGTCACTAAGCTAGTCACCTTTACCCTGTCGGCGATAGTATTGGCGACTAAAATTTGTTTGGTCGCCGAAAGTGTACACATTTGGCTACTAATCTTAGTTTAGTCGGCAAAATGTATGTTTCCGCCACTAAAGTATTAGTCACCGAATGTGACTTTTGGCTACTAACATTCGTTTGGTCGGCGAATGTGTTACTTTTTGCTACGAAAGAATTAGTCACTGAAAGTTAACATTTGGCTACGAATCCATACTTAGTCGGCAATAGTGACATTTCGGCTACTAATTTTTTAGTCACTAAAAGTTCTACATGAAAATTTTAACCAACTATTCCTTACTTTTTGCTACCAAATATTTTAGTCGCCAAATGTTTTTGCTACTAAATTATTAGTAGCCAAAAAATTCCAACTATGTATTTGGCTACCAAAATATTTGGTGGCCAAATATTTTCTGTTTTTTTTTTTTTTATTATCCAAAAAAATTCTAAACAACCTACATCCATGTTTAATACAACCTGTACGTACATAACCCAGGATTCAATATAACCCATCAACGCTAAATATA